GGCAAGGAGCTCGTCATTCATATGCAGTTGGATCGGAAGCAACGACGACGACGGGCTGGCGATAGGAAACTCATCGTTTTGAAGTTGGATCATAAGCAACGATAACGACATGAGGGAGGTTGCCATCCGTTCTGCAGTTGGATACTTGGAATGGAAGTAACAACGACAACAACAGGAGGTCCGAGTTCGGATTGCATTTTTTGCTCATGTCAGTCAAGTCAACCCGGCAACCCAACAGGTTGAGTTTGGTTGCATTTTCTGAACCGTTTATAAAAAAGGGTTGGATTCAGGTCATATCAAAGAGTAGCGAGTCGATCAATGTCGGGTTCGATCCGAACCCAACCCATAATCTGATTTTGACAGCCCTAATGACAAGTACGTAAGTTCATAACTAGATTAATATCTCTTAACTTCTTGTGTAAAAATCGAGGTTATATATTGATAAATGATGATTTTTAATCCTCAAACCCATCATAAAAAATCATATATACCTATATTTCTGTGAAATATAATTTATGCTAACCATGATTACCCTCATCACATTCCCAGCTCATCTTCTTTTTACATTTTAGCGCTTGCTGGTGGAGCTATATTGCTTCTTAAAGTTTCCTCATTTCCCTGCTTACTATCTCTCGTATTGCAACCATTTGCATGATCAAAAGAAGAGTCATTAGTGCTTATTTATACTAGCAATTGGTAGGTAATTATATTCCATTGGCTTCTTTAATGTGTGTAGACAGCACAGCACATGCATCATACTTATTTTACGAACAAGGTTGGCTTAATTTAGTAAATCATATTTATTTGTCATTCTATAAATAGCTGGCATAGTGATGATTGTATTGATGATTACATTTTTATTATAAATAATGTGTCAGTATGGAAATTTATAAATAATCTTTTTACAAGGATTGCATTGTAATTATATATTATTATAGGTAATGTGTCCATTAAAATAACTATTTAAATTATCAAAGTGGTTTAAAACTTTAAAAATTATTTTAAATATATCGAAATTTTAACATGAGTTTAACAGTTGAAAAGCCAAGTACTTTTTAGAGGTGCATTTAAGGCTGGTTTTGGGATAGCTTTTTTATTGTTTTCTAAAACATTCAAAAAAAATTGTACTAAAAAACTGCTTTAAAACACAATAAAAAAAGTTTCCCAGACAAAGCCTCAATTAAAAATTTTTACTTAAAATCAATTACATTTTGTTTTTTACTTTAGGCTAAGTACTTTTCACTTGAAGTGGAGGAAAGCATCGAGCCTCTTGTGTGATAGAAAAGTCGCCCTCAAGCTTAAGGGAAAATTCTATAAGATGGTGGTGAGACCTGCAATGTTGTATGGTGCCGAATGTTAGCAATTAAAAGAGAAGCATAATACTAAGTTAAGTGTTGCAGAGATGAGGATGCTCGGGTGGATGAGTGTCTTTACCCTTAGAGATAGGATACGAAATGAGCAAATATGTGAAAAGGTTGGAGTAGCTCCAGTCATGGTTTAAAATTGTGAAATAAGAGGCGCGCCTCAAGGCACGCCTCAGCGCAATTTTGAACTTTTAAGCCTCAAAGCCTATGCAATGAGAGCTGGCATTGAGGCGCACACCTCAAGTTCACTGAGGCGCGCCTCAAGGCGTGCCTCGCCTCATGTTTTAGAGGCGTCTGCCTCTTAAAATTTATAAAAAAATAATAATAATAATAATAAATAAAATAAAAAACTAACCACTCGATACAACAATGTTTGGTACCACTAGGTACATGCTCATCACCGCTAGATACATTCTCAGGTCAAACCCTGCCAGGGGATAGCGCCCCCTTAGACCCCCGACTGCTTGGAATATTGTTATATTCATCATCTTTAATAATAGTTGTTAGTGTTAGTCTGCTTCTTTATGAGTTGAACTATATTTCATATTGTCTTATTATTGAGATATTTTGATTTTATTTCATATCTTGTGTCTTTTTATGTTTTATATTTTTACTCATTTGTATATAGAAATTTTATCATTTTATGTTTACGCAATCTTTTAATTTTGAGGCTTACGCCTCAAACGCCTTGAGGCTTACGCCTCGCCTCACGAACGAAAAACACCTTAATACCCGATTTCGCAATTTTAAACATTAGCTCCAGTGGAAGATAAGATTAGGGAGAGTCACCTTAAATAGTTTTGTCACATAAAACGACAGTCTTCCGATGATCATGTTAGGAAAGTAGAGGTATTATATTTGACTTATGTTAAGAATTGTAAAAGTAGACCTAAAAAGTCTTGATTAAAAAATATTAGACGTGATCTTTCTTTATTATATTTAAATGAGAAATTAACTTTTAACAAAACACAATGGAGAAAAAAGATTCATGTAACCGACCTCATGTAGTGGGACAAAGGCTTGATGTTGTTGTTGTAGGCTAAGTACTTTTCAGAGGTGCATTTCAATTAAACAAAATTATTTAAACTGGTTTTTTAATATTTATGAATATTTACAGCTTTTGGAATTTCTAAAACCATAAATTGTAGGGTTTACATAATTAGTAGCGGAATAAGATAAGCTTTCCATGTGGTAGCCTGCCATTGAGCACAGGTAGTGTAGGGTAAATTTAACAATGAATGATGAAGTTTATATAAATAAAGCAAAGATACCAAACCAGAATACCACTATAGTGTAAGAATATGAACAAGCTAGACATGTATATGTCATGGAACTTTGCAAGCTCAACTTAGATATAATTTCACAAAACAAACAAGCTTACTGATAAAATTTAAAGTAATAAAAAGAAGGTAAACAAGGACAATAAGTGTAAAGCTATTGAGCACTTATGACACAAAAGTTTTAGATGATTTGATCAACCTCAAAGCCTATGTTGATTACTAACTCATAAAAAGCTCTTTCAACAAGACAAAGAAGTCCATATACGAGTGCAATCAAACATAATATTCTATAAATGCTGAGTATAATCCTAACTTCTATATACTTAGCAACCTCCCTTTTCTTATAATAGTTTTTCTAACTAAAGTTTTTTCAAAACTTTGGAGGAAATTGAAAAATTATTTATAATATATTTGTAATCTCTCACTACTCTAGATAACTTCATACAATGAAAGCTTGATAACAAATTAAATACGAGTAAATAATAACTCTTTATATTTCATCCAAAAAATTGAGTAAATGTTGATATTACCAATATGATCTAAAGCCTCAACGAGAATATGAAATGAGAGATTGGTTGTTTACTTATATTAACTTGCTTTGAAGAACCTTGCCAAGAGAAAATATAGGTTTACAGAGGAAGCTCTTAAACTCCAAAAGGCTCTACATATTTTTCTTTGAAATGAAGAAGCAGTTTTAGGATTTGCTACAGAAGCAAATGGCTTAAGATCATTTGCTCACAAAAAGTTTTGTAAGTATTGCTACTTTGAAGTTCTTAACCAAAACAGAGAATGCTATTGAAAAAAAAGAATGGCTTCAGAATTTTTCCGAAAACATAAATACTGAATTGCAGTAAAAGAAATCACTAAAAATAAATGCAGCGAATGATCCACTTGAAAAACTTAAACAAATACAATGAACAATCCTGCTGCTTATTCCCAATGAATTTGCCTATAGAAAAGGGTTAAACAGTCAGAAATTTTTTATAAAAGAGAAAAAGGTTGGGAGAAACTCAAGAAAAAAAAAAAGAATTTGGAATAGAGAAGAAGCTCTTGAGAATCAAATATATGATTATGGCTCAAAAACAGCATTCTGGATCTAACGGAACTAAAATGGAAGTCCAAAATTTAGTATTTAGAAAGTTATGATTTTTCGATAAAGGAATACAATAAAAATTCAATTTAAAAAATTAGCAATATAACCAAATTCGATTATAATTTAAAAAAAAAAAATTGCACAAAATTTAAGTATTATTTAATGAATAGAAATATTTTTTTGGTATTTTTTTGGATGATTAATTGTGAGTTTGCATGTTTGAGTTGTTTGAGACAAAAATGATCGAAATAAAATATTTTGACTTTGCAAACAATATTAAATGATATTTGTGAGTTATTTAATCATTTTAAAATTTATGTGTATTATTTTGAGACTTTGACAAACCCAATCAATAAATTGAAACAATGAAGACCATAAGAACAACAACAACACAACATCATCAAGCCTTTATCCCACATGGGGTTCTGAATACCATAAGAACACTAACACATAATCTTGGCAATGGCAATAAGGCTATGGAAGTACATGTTAAATGTGGAAAATTTTACAAAGTTGAATGCTTATTAGGTTTAACAAAGTAATGTACTTCCCTACAGTCGATCAAAAGGCTTCAGGAGAAGTGAAATCAAGTAAAGCACCTTCGTAAAAGTATTTTGATAAACAAAAATGATAGTGTCGACTGCTTTAGCTCCAACATAAAATCAACTAAGATAAAATGTATAACAATGAGTTTGTGCTTTAACTCAAGTCTGATAAATCTATTGATCTTAATAAATTTGCTTAAGATGTGAAATACATAGTAATCCATTATTTTATATCAGATGTTTTATTTTATCAAGATATATACTCAATATTAATATTTAAGTTGAAATGAAATTAAATTAATGTTATTTTGCTAAAGCAAGTATTAAGAAGTAACTCCATTTTAATTTATCTCAAGATGACATACTATATCAAATGTTTTAGGCAATACCATTCTAATTAAGGGCAATGTGCAATATTTCAGAGTTGAAATTCTTATAAGTGGGAGAGACTGTAAACACTTAAAATTTATTTAATTAGAACAAATTTTTTTAAGAGAGGAAGATTAAAAAAAGTCAAAAATTTGATACACACACACTAGCATTATTTAATTATGAGCAAACCAACATTTCACCTATTTTGCAACTAAATGAAGCAAGAGAGAGCGGGTGACGAAGAGTGAGGAAGAAAGAGTGTGATGGAGAGTGAATAAGAAATCAATGGAGAGTGAGAGTGAAAGGAAGTAGATCTCCTACTGAAATCAGCAAACCGCAAGAAGAATTTGGAGAGAAAAACACACCACGAATTCTTTTATTGTAAGAAATACGAAAGAAAACAACAAGATACAATTGGATCTTCAATTGGAGAGGAAGATCCTGCTCTCCCAAATCCCTAGCCTCCGGCTAGAGACCTCACAACCTAAGAAACCCTAATTCAGCAAACACGTGCCTAAGAAAAAAAAATGAACACTAGGGAGAAAATATACTTGAAGCATACAATAACAAAATCCCAAAACAGCCCTTTGTTTTTCCTCCTAGCCGCACCCTACAATTTCAAAATCTGCTCCCTGGGCCACTTCAAAGGGGCAAAACTCTCCCCTATCTACCATGCTTACCCCGCCTGGAATAAACCCTGCTTGGTCCAGGGTGGACCAGCCCTTCTATGACCGGTCTAACAGAGAGTTACAAAAAAATTGAGAAAGAAGTTAAGAGAGGGACAAAATAAAAAAGATGAGAAATCCGGCAAGTAGTATATCGTCGAGCAAATAAGGGAGAGAGAAATCATGAGCAACTAGGAGAAAGAGAGAAAAATAGATAAAAAAGATTCAAAATATTGATTACTTGAGAAGAAAATAATAGAAATACTTTAATGGAAACAATCTCTTTCCTCATATGAAATCAATCTTGCCTCGCTAAGTCTTTAAAGAGAAAAGGATATCAACACATGTAATGGGATATCAATTGGATTGAATGCATGTTTAAGGTGTGGCGATTCAATATTAGAAGGAAAAATAATGTTAAAACAACAATGAATTTTGCATCGTATAATATATTATGAAATTTTATTGTTAGTAGTATCTAATCAACATGATAATATATGACAAAGTACGAACACTTATAGAGGAGATGGAGGAATTTATTACAAATATCCAAAAAAAAAAATTGAGATGTTAAATTACTCTCAAAGAAGTCATGAATTGTTTCAAGCCTGACATAAATTGGTGTGAAGCAAGATTTAGCCCCTTAATTGACTATAGCTACTCAGAGCTTAAGCATAACAATCAGTACATGTAGCAAATGCAATATAAATATTTTTTTTATTTTTAATTTTCCTTTTTGGGTACTAACGGTTATAAAGAAAATATCTTTATCCTAAATCACCCCATATGCAAGAATAAACAAAACATTACACCACACACAAAAAAGTATTGTAACTATACCCTAACTTTAGATACCAACAAGTGTAGTTATCCCAACATCTATTATGCGCTAGATCGTGTGGATGTCTCATTATAAAAAGAGTGGCGTTTCACTATGAACTTTGAAGGGACATTCAATTTATATACATAGGATATAGGTCATTTCAAGTTCTTGTTGATTTAAAATTTTTATTTGAATTTTAAAGAGAGGATTTTATATTTTTATTAGTTTTATAAAAAAGCTCTATAAACATATATCGTCGACCTTGAAATGGAAAATGCCATTTAAGGTGTCCTATAATATAATGTGAGACGTACACCTCATCTTGACTTGAGGTGAGTTTACAGTACACTTTGTCCTAAAAAGAAATAATTATCTTTTATGGATCCTCTATATATATATATATATATAGAGAGAGAGAGAGAGAGGATCCACTAATCCACCTAATTTTTGGCTAAGGGAAAAATGATTTTACCCAATTTGGCTAATCAAAGATGCCTAATGGTTTGGCTTAATTAAGGCTTTAAGGTTTAAATTTGATATGAGAATAAAATGATGATGGTGAGTTGTTCATTTGATTTGGCCAAGCAGACAATTCTGGGAGTTTGGCTTTGAACTAGGGATGTGGTCATCTACAAAATAAATTGTGGCCAATATGACTAGGTAGTCTACCTATGAGTTTCAAGGTTATACTAAGTTGACCTAGCTAGGTCAGGCAAACATAGAAGGATTTGAGCTTGAGTTTGATTAATTTAAATTTATTCAGTTAGTTTGGTTTGAAAATTAAAATGGAGAAAAATGATTCATGTAGCCGACCCCACGTAATGGGATAAAGGCTTGATGTTGTTGTTGTTGTAGTTAGTTTGGTTTGAAAATTAAAATGGATTTGACTTGATTTAATTGAGTATGAATTTGGTATATTGACTTTATTTATTTTAGTTGAATTTAATTGAACTTGAATGCATACAATTGATTTAATATTCATTGGTTCTAAGCTCAAATTGATTTTAAGAATGATTTTAATATGATTTGAAAGGAATTGATTTGATATGAATTGGGATTTAATTTGAATTGATTAATATGATAATGAGTTAATTTGAAGTTGAAATTGAATGATTTTGATCAATTTAATTGGGTATTAATTGAGTTAACGTGATTGTAATTTCAATTGAAGTTAAAGATTGACTCAAATGTATTGAAAGTGTTGCAAACCACTTAGTCCTCTGTGAAGATTTCAAAGGAGTCTCTTTAATGGCAAATGCTTGTACTCATATAGGTAGTACAGTGTAATAAAGTCACGAAAGATTGCCCATTTGTAAGCAATATCAATATCCACTATGACTCATGGATCACAACAATCAAAAAGATTGATCAAAGATGTTTAATCATTGATCAATAATTCAAATCACGAGTGTGATAGATGGAAACCAATAACCAAAGATCAAATGGTTTAATGCATATATATTATCCTACACGATGGTTCACTTGATTGCCCACAGTTTCTATCCAGTAGACATAAGTGAGAGTCTAAAAAGCAAAAACAGCAAACCATACTTCAGTGGGTTTGTATTTGATTGAACCGAGTAAAGATGTGCACATATGAATGCATCAAATTAAGTAAGAGAACCTCACTTGATTTTGAGGGAATGATAACACTATGACCATGATATGAACAGAAAATATTTCTCACAAGTGAAACAAAAAGAAAGTTTGGATTAGATATTTAACATAATCAAGTCATCAAGTGTGAGAAAATTAAATATGCACATACTAGGATGCTAATGCAAAAATAGCTATAAGATGACCGAGCACATAAAAAATTCAGCGTGCATGTAATTGATGCAAGCAAAAAAGGTAGGGATTGATGAAAGCAATTCAGCGTGCATGTAATTGATGCAAGCATCTATATCAACAACTTGGTTTTCCATGAGACATTCAGGCTTCGTTTGGGACAACTTTCTTACTTCCTTCTAAAGCTTTAGAAAGCATTAAGAAAGTTGTCTCAAACGAAGCCTCATTAAAATTTTAAAAATCAATATTAATAAATGCACTTAGAAATAATTTTTATGGCATTGAAAATCATATCATATTTATGCATTCAAATGTAGAAATGATAAGGAGCATGATCCGGTCATTTAAATTCTTGATATTATAACAATCAACAAACCAACGCTGTTGAATCTCGATGGGAAAATTTGCATGAGAACTTGATTAAAATTTTCAACATAATCGGGCTAGATACATTTTAAACATGCTTAATTGGTAAATATGAATTAACTTCAACATTTTCATGACATAATCTCGATGGATCCAAATTTATGTACGGAAAAACTATCAATGCTTGAAGAAAGCCTAATAAGAGATTAAATACTCCATTTACTCTAATAAAGATATATATAATTAATATCATTCATGTGATATTCACAATCGAAAAGAAGAAAGATAACAATTATATTTACGAAGATGTTTAAATAACTTGAAATTCTGAAACAACTTCAACGATATTAAATCATTTGAAGGATAGATATGATACTAAGAACTTTAAAATCTGAAATTTAAGAGGATTATCCAAGATGGAAAACCATCATTATGGTTACAAATATTCATTTCATGTACACGTATCAGTTAAATGCAAAATAATAGCCCATTTGAGGAACATGCATATACCTGATACTTTAAGTGGTTAAGAAGCTCGTCGGTGATCGATTTGCAGCCGCGAGGGAAGGGAAGATGGGAGGCGGCAGCTTGTGGCGGCTCGATGAGCTGGATAGCTGGGCAGAAGGGGGCTGAGTAGGCATGGGCAGCGCGATGATAGCTTACGGCGGTCGGCCTTGGCATAGGCGAGGAAATCCGGCGGCTAGGTGCGGGCGGAAGAAAGGAGCGAAGCGAGTGAGAGATCGGGCAACAGGAGAGGGAAATTGAGAGGGAGATGCAGAGTGAAATTTTTATCCTTTTCGTGACCTCGACATATTATTTTATTTTTAGAATTTTTAATAAACATTAAATCCTTTAATATTGATTGATATTAACTAAACAAGATATATTAATAAAAAAACTAAATCAATTTAATCATTCTTTTTTTTTTACAACAAATTTTATTCCAATAAAGAAAGGATTACAACACCAATCATTATA